ATTTGCATTAAAATATACCAGAAAAAAGATCTTAAATTAATAATCTAAACTACTGCCTTAAAAAAAATCAAAAGAAAAAAAAAGAAAAAAAAGAGCAAAATAACCCAAAGCTAGTCAAAGGAATGAAATAACAAAAAGTAAAAATAAATGGAATAGAATAAAGAATAGAAAACAATAGAAAAAAATCAATGGAACCAAAATTGGTTCTTTGAAAAGATCGACAAAACTGATAAACCTTTACCTAGATTGATCAAGAGAAAAAAGAAGAATCAAGTTACTAACACCCCAGATAAAAGAGGAGACATCACTACATTCTTTATAGTGATGCAGTGTAAGAGAATACTATGAATAATTGTATTCCAATAAATTAGATAACATACATAAAATGAACGAATTCCTAGAAAGACACAAACTACCGAAGACTATGCAAGAAGAAGCAAAAAAATCTAAATATGCCTATAACAAGTGAAGAGATGTATTAGTAATTTTAAAACTTCCCACAAAGAAGAGTTTAGGCCCAGATGGCTTCCATGGTACATTCTGCCAAATGTTTAAATAATAATTAATACCAATCATTCACAAACTCTCTTTCAAAAAAAAAAAAAAAAAAGAGGGGGAACATTTCTCAACTCATTCTATGAGACCAGTATTACCTTGATACAAAATCAGACAAGGAAATCACAAAAGAAAAAACTGCATGTCCCTTCTGTATAAGGACATGTCTCCTCAACAAAATACTAGCAAACTAAATCCTGCAACATGTAAAACTGATTATACATTTATCAAGTATGATTTATCTCAGAAATGCAAGGTGGTTTAACACCCAAAAGTCAATTGATTTAATAAAGTCAATTGAATAATTGTATTTCAATAAATTATACAATTATTCAATTGTATACAATTATTCAATACAATTATTCAATTGACCATATAATTAGAATAAAGGACAAAATCCACATGATCATCTCAACTGGTGCAGAAATAACATGACGAAATCCAAAATCTTTTCACAATAAAAAACAAAACAATGAACAAATTGGGAATAGAAGGTAATTTCCCCAACCTGATAAAAAACATCTATGAAAAACCCACAATTAATATTATACTCAATGCCAAAAGGCTTTCCCCCTAACATCAGGAATAAGACAAGGTTATCCACTCTCATCATGTCTATTCAACGTTGTACTGAAGGTTGTAGCCAGGGCTATTAGTTAAGAAAAAGAAATAAAATTCATCCAAATTGGAAAGCAAGAAATAAAACTATTTCTATTCATAGTTGATATGACATTGCATATAGAAAATCCTAAGGAATCCCAAAAACATTATATTACTAATAAGTGAGTTCAGCAAATTTATAGGACACCAGATCAATATATAAAAATCAATTGTAATTCTATACACTAGCAATGAATGATACAAAAATGGATTTAAGATTACAATTCTATTCACAATAGCATAAAAAAGAATAACATACATAGGAATACATTAAACAAAGAAAAAGTACAAAACTACAAAACATTGTTGAAATTGAAAACCTAACTAAATGGAAGACTTCTATGTTCATCAATCAAAAAATATTAAGAGAGTAATACTCCCCAAATTGATCTACAGATTCAACTCAATCTTTATCGAAATTTCAGCTGACCTTTTTGTAGAAATTGACAACCTGAGCCAAAAATCTATATGGGCATGCAACAGACCTATAATAGTCAAAACAATCTTGAAAAAGAACCAGATTGGTGGATTCACAATTCCTGATTTCAAAATTTACTACAAAGTTACAGTAATCAAGACAGTGTGGTAGTAGCATAAGGATACATATATACATCAATGGACTTGAACTTAGAGTCCAGATTTTTGATAATGGTGCCAAAACAATTCAATGAGAATGGTCTTTTCAAAATACAATGATGAGACACAACTGGATATTCACATGCAAAAAAAAATTAAGTTTAACACTTATTTTACACCATATACAAAAATTAACTCAGAATGGATCCGAGACCTAAACATATAGGCTAAAACTAGAAAACTCCTTAAGAAAACATAGAAGAAGAGCTTCATGACACTGTATTAGACAATGATTTCTTGGATATGACAGCAAAAAGCACAAGCAACAAAAGAAAAAATAAATTGAATTACATCAAAATTAAAAACTTTGCATCAAAGGACAGTTTGAGGGAAAAGGCAAACTACAGAATGGGAGAAAATATTTGCAAATCATATATCTGATAAGGGGCTAATCCAGAATATAAAGAACTCCTTCAAACCAAAAACAGAAAACATATAACCTGATTTAAAAATGGACAGACAACTTGAATAGATGTTATTCCAAAAAAGATACACAAATGTCCAACAAGCATATGAAAAGTTGCACAACATCACTAATCATTAGGGAAATGCAACTCAAAACCATGATGTGACATCATCTCACACCTGCCAGGATGGCTTCTACTTTAAAAAATCCGACAGAAAATAACAAGTGTTGGCGAGGATGTGAACAAATTGGACTTCTTGTACATTGTTGATGAGAATGCAAAATTGTGCAGCTGCTATGGAAAACAGTATGACAATTCCTCAACAATTGAAAATAGAATTACCATATGATCCAGTTATACCCAAAAGAATTGAAAGCAAGTGCTGAAGAGATATTTGTACACCCATGTTTATAGCAGCATTCTTCACAATAGCCAAGAGGTGAAAGCAATCCAAGTGTCTACTGATGAAAAATTGGATAAATAAAATGATATATATATTATATATATATTATATAAAATATATATATATCACACGATAAAATATTATTCAGCCATAAAAAGGAATGAAATTCTGAAACATAAATGACTGAGGATATTATGCTATTCAAAGAAGCCAGTCACAAAAGACAAATACCGTATGATGCCTCTTTTACAAACTGTCTAGAGTAGTCAAATACACAGAGATAGAAAGTCAGATGTTGGTTGACAGGGACTAGAGGAAGGAAGAAATGGGGAGTTGTTGCTCAATGGGAATAGAGTTCCGGTTTCACAAGATGAAGCTCTGGAGATTGCTTATACAACAATATGAATATACCTTACTGAACTATACGCTACCACAATTTTTAAAGACTATCAAAAATTGCTTAATTATGGTTACAAAAATGCTAAATGATGAGATATCATTTATCGGATTTGAGAAAAGTTTTCTCTGTGACCCTTGACTTCTGTACCTCAACTTCTACCTGTGTCCACTTGGCTGCTCACAAATTAACCTGATAGCTCTCAATTTAAGCCTACTTGGTATGTGCCAGGCTTTTCCAGATTAACTCTCAACAATTTTCTGTTGAGTCAACTAAAGCTCAGCAAGGTATAGTGACATTTCCCAAGGTTGTGTGAGGAATGGATCACTGGGTCCCACAGCCTGAAAGCCTGGGTTCTTCCCCACCACGCCTCAGTCTCCTCAAGTTAGCTTTATCCTAACAATCACTTGGGGTACCTCAAAAATTCAGATTCTTGTTGGAAATGAGTGGTTCTCTAGATTTTGATGAATGATGTTATGTATGGATCCTGGAATGAGTAAATAAACAAAGAGATGAAATAAAACAGGAATGGAGAACTTGACAGACTAATGGAGCCTTGAAGAGGGTGGAGTCTGGAAGACAGAAGGCTGAAGAATTGCTGAGGCTAGGCACATTCTGTGCTAACCAGAGCCCTAGTCTAACTTGCGCCGAGGACAGAGAGCACTGGGGACAGTCCAGGGGCCTTGGAGCTGTTGCCAGCCAGGAGAGAGGCCAATCCAGACACATTAGTGTGTGCTCCCAGCCGCGAAGGAGGCTCAGGCAAGATGCCCTAAGGAAGGAAGGGTGATGGGGCATTAGGGAGACCTAGTGGGTTTTTGCATGCGGGAGGGGAGTATTTTTCTTTAGAAAGATCGCTGTGACTCTTGTGGGGAAGACAATTCTAAGGGGAAGAAATTGGTGGAGGGAAGAACTGACTGCAAACAGCAGAGCCCAGGGAAATGAATTTCGGAAAGATTTTTGGAGAGACCTTTGCCAGGGCTTGGTACTCAACTGCATGTGGAGATGATGAGGGAGAGAAATGGGTCTTCATTATCAGCTCTTAGGTACTTCAGTGACAGAGCCCAAAGGAACATATCTGTAATGGGTGGGGGTGAGGGTCGGGGTGAGGGCAGTCATAAGCAAAGAAAGTGGCTGTCACTTTTGCCAAGTTCCATCTATGACTCTAAGTGCTCGTCCGGTTGGTTGCTCCAACATGGGAGACTTCTGTGTTGTCCCTCAGGTTCAAGGGTCTCTGTTTTTGTTTTTTGAGGGGTGAAGTGGGGATCTGGTACATTCGTCCAGCCCTCAGAGAGAGCTGAGGAGGCCAGAGTCACCACGGGTTGGAGGGAGAAAATGGCTTTCAAGAAATAGGGATTAGGGAAAGAAAATGTCTGAGGGAGCAAAGCTATTTAAAAACCACTGTTCTTCCATTTTTGTATCATTTAACCGAACATGGCTCTGTGTGTTATATCAGTTGATACTCATGCTGATTTGAAGAACTCAGCAGAGCTGGGCTACTGCCTTCCCCAGGCTAACAGTGTTCCTAAGCCGGCATGGGAACCCAGATAATCCAGGGTCTAATGGCAGAAAAACTGCTAGATACAGGATAACGGGAGTGTGGCATAGACTTGAACTATTACTTTTTTAAGGTAAAGTCTAGAGAGAAGTTGAGGAAATAGGCATCTCCTCCAACTTGGGAAGACTCCCCAAGGGTCCACCTACTGATCCTAGATCCCTTTCTGAGCCCTCCAAACCTGGGGTAAAAGAGCTCCCTTTGCCAGCCTCCTTTGCCTCGGCCTGAGGGAGTCTATGAATCCCAGCACTGAAGGAACAGGATCTGACCCCGTCTTTCATTGTGGAGATGGGAAAATTGAGGCAGGGGTGACGGGAGCACCCTGCATGGGGCTCTCTCCTCTGAGGCCTTAGTCTCACTAACTACAGCTTCTTCTTCAGGGACAGAAAGACATGGCCTGGAAATGGACACCACCTCTGCTGCTTCTGGCCTGGATAGCCTCCATGTGCAGTGCCAGGGACAGGACAGATCTGATCAATGTCTGTATGGACGCCAAACACCACAAGACAAAGCCAGGCCCTGAGGACAAGCTGCATGACCAGGTGTAGCTGGAGTGTGGCTCTGGTTGGGGTTGGGGGCGCTGGTTCTAACAGGGAACAGGAAATTAAAGTGGTGGGGGAAGGGTTCAGGAGTCAGATACCCCCATATCCTGAGTTATTGCTGTGGGTGAAGATGAAAGTTGGGTGTGGTTGAGGTGATTTTAGGGGTGGCCTCCTAAGAAAAGGATACCATGTCAGCAATAATATGGAATATTCATTTATTGAGCCCCAACTAGGTGTCATGTGTTTCTGTACATTATTTCATATTCCCAGTGGTCCTTTGATATAGGTCGATGATATTCTCTACATGACACAAATGAGGAAACTGAGACCCAGAGGTGCATATGAACATACAGAGGAACTGGACATGATCAACCCTTGTGGTGGGGTAGGGGTAGGACTGGGGTAACCTCCAGGGATTTGGAGGGTGAAAGAATGGGGGAGGATGGCTCTTCCTACCTTCACTATGTGCCAGTCCAATGGAGTGCTAAGGGTAGAGGAGGAGAAGGCTTCTTATGACTGTGACACAGGGCAGAGATGCTATACATTCATACATTCTATAAAATTTATGCCAGTCAGTTGTAGCCTCATCAGACTCCATGTCTCCTTTTTATGAAAAATACTGTTTAGACTCTCCTTTCTATCCTGGTATGAAATTCAAAGCTACTAGAACCTATTTGCATATTTAATTAAAAAATATCAATATAACTCCCAATCTGTAATACAGAGGAGAATAAAAAGAAAGTAATTTATAATAAAATAATATATATTTCAATACATCTGTTCTCTGGTATGACTACATTAGAAGTCATTATGAAATAGCATATGTTACTTTTATTCACAAAATCACTATGAATGGGGCAGCTACAAATGAAGATTGATAGAGGTGGCCACTTAAATGCTATAAGATGCTCTAAGTAGTGTTGCCATTGATGACATATTTTCTAAAATAGTGAATAACTCCAGTAAAACAAAACACATTGCAATTCAGCCTTCCCTTTCACAGTTTTTGTCATCCTGGAAAATCTGGTCTATATTAAAAACTTGTTAAAATATGGTGTCTATATGTAAGATGGAGTTTGGTTTAGATTTAAGAAATCATAAATAGGTCTTTCATTTACTTTTTTTTCAGCAGATGTGTGTGTGGGACTTCTATGTGTCTGGCACTGGCCTAGCCACTGGGGCGGGGAGATGAGGTGGGAAGGAACAGATCTTCATGCTTGCCAAGAATAAGGTTGTTCAACATATATTACTGCATACCACACTCTCTCTTTCCTCTTTTGCTCAAATCGTCACCTTCTAATGAGGCTTTTCACAACCACCCTATTTAAAATTTCAACAATCATTCCATACTCCCCATTCCCATTCCCTGCTGTAATTTTCTCCATATAACTTATCATATCCTTACATATATTTTCTCTCCTAGTGCCTCTCCCCTGACCAGAATGTAAGTTCCATGAACACATATTTCTGTCTGCTTTGTTTCCTGCTATATTCCATCTAGAACAGTGACTGGCATAGAATAGGTACTCAATAATTATTTTTTAATTAATAAATTAAAGAAGTTTTATTAAATGTTAAGGGCTATAAAGATGACAGTTTATTGTCCCCCTAAGACAGAGTCTGTCTCAGACTCCCACAACCTCCTGATTACTGTTGTAACTGAGTGTCCCCCAAGATGGGAGTTCCTGGAGGCCAAGGACAGAGGGGTCCTCACAATGAGTGTGAGGCCATATACCTGGGGGCAGAAGAGTAAGAATCAAATGGGGAGAGGCTGGAGGTGGCAGAAAGCTGTGGTGGCGGGAAGGACTTAGTTCTGTGTCCTCCCCACCCAGTGCAGTCCCTGGAAGAAGAATGCCTGCTGCTCCGTCAGCACCAGCCAGGAGCTGCACAGGGACACCTCCCTCCTGTATAACTTTAACTGGGACCACTGTGGCCAGATGGAGCCCGCCTGCAAGCGCCACTTCATCCAGGACACATGCTTGTATGAGTGCTCCCCCAACCTGGGGCCCTGGATCCAGCAGGTATGCGTGTCTCCCTCACCCCACCCCAGCAGGCTGCCCTCCAGCTCAGTCAAGGTCGTGGTTGCCAACGTACCTGGCTGAGATGAGTCTTCTCGCCCCATCTTCCACCCAGGTAGACCAGAGCTGGCGCAAAGAACGTTTCCTGGATGTGCCCCTGTGCAAAGAGGACTGTCAGAGCTGGTGGGAAGCCTGCCGCACCTCCTACACTTGCAAGAGCGACTGGCATAAGGGCTGGAACTGGACCTCAGGTGAGGGCTGGTGGGTGGGGAAATGGAGGTGGAGTTTAGACAAAGGAGGTTTGAGGATTTGGGATTGGGTGAGGATTTCTGGGATAGCCAGGGGCTGAATGTCTGTGTCCATGCTCTCTCTTCCTGCAGGATCTAACAAGTGTCCAGTTGAGGCCGTCTGCCGCACATTTGAGTCCTACTTCCCCACGCCTGCAGCCCTGTGTGAGGGCCTCTGGAGTCACTCTTACAAAGTCAGCCAATACAGCAGAGGGAGCGGCCGCTGCATCCAGATGTGGTTTGACCCAGCCCAGGGTAACCCCAATGAGGAGGTGGCGAGGTTCTATGCCTTGGCGATGAAAGCCAGGGCCATGCCCCACAGGGCTGGGCCTCTCCTGCTCAGCCTGGCCCTGATGCTGCAACTCTGGCTTCTTGGCTGAGTCCAGCTCTCCGCAAACAACCAGGCTGGGCTCAGCTTACTTTCACAAATGAGGGAGCCCTAAGCATGTCTCCATCGATTACCCATCCCTCTATTATCCAATTCCTACTCCATGATGGGACTTGAGGTTTCTCTGACAGCTAGTTCTAATAAATAGATGGACATATCCGTGTCTGATGAATTATTTTGGTTGTGAGTTTGTGGATGGATAGAAGACAGATTCCATGGTTTTTAGATTCATTCAGATTAGAGGAATGAGACCCGGGTTTGAATCCCAGCTCTGTTATTCACTATGTGAAAAAAAAACAGTTGACTACACTCAACCTTAGTTTCTTCCTCATTAAAACAGGGGGAATAATCCTGTCTCTCCTCAGGTTTGTGAAATACAAAGGAACTGCTGCCTAGAAAGCAATATCTGCACATGAATAGTCCTCAGGGAACCTGTTGCTCTTGTAGCCCCAAGTGAGAGCCAAGTCCAGGACTTAATTATTTATATCGGTCCTCAAATATCCCCTTTCCCCCAGGACTTGTGTGCCTGGCTCTGCGCTCAGCTCTGCAATGAGAAAGCTGGGGATGGGTGTCCAGGGAAGGGTCTGGATTCCCACGGTAGTGGTGGGGATTCACACTTGATGTGGATTGGGGGCAGAGTTGGAACTTGGGATCCTTAGAAAAGGAAGAGAGCTGATGGGAGGTCTGTGGGGAAGGTTCCTGGAGAGGAAGTCAAGAGCCTTGAACTGGTTCAGCCCTGCTGTGCCCTGGAGGTATGGCTGGAAGAGGCATGGAAACTTACCTTTGTCCCCGCCTGGGAATAGTAGATATGCCTATCCTGGAGGGTTGTTCTGTCTTTGCACAGCTGTCAAGTACTGGGCCTGAGTTGACCTCTGGGTCTCTTACTTCTCCACACCCTGACTGTAGTTATCCCCAGAGAGGCACGGGTACCTGTCCGAGAGTACCAGGCGGGTGAGTGCTCATGCTAGAACTAAAATCAGGCAGGAAGACTCCTAGTCCACGTCTCTCCCCGCCGCACAGGGCTGTCCCCTCCTGGCTGGCTCACATTTCCTCATACCAAAGGGTGACTGATGGGAGAAGTCGGGCACAGATTGGGGGATGAGTTATTGGGTTCCTGGAGGGGCCTGGAGACATTGTTGGGTGTGTGGGAGAGTCTCTTAGTCATATTTATCAAGTCTGGAAGGCCCCACAGAGCCCCCTCCACGTCCCAGCTTTGCTCCAGTCAGATTAAGTCAATGTGTATTCGAAATAGAGTAAGGAGCTCGTAGGGACTGACCCAGACACAGGTTCAATTCAGCAAAGTGAAAAGTTCTCTCCCAGGTTAAAGGGGATATTCTGACATTGTCCCAAGAGTTGGCAGCAGTGGAAGCCCAGCTGGAGGCCTGCGCCTTTAAGGAGCTAGGGGGCGGAGGGGCGGGGCAGGAAGCGGACTCCCCGGAGACGCTGCCACCGGCTAGGTCTTTTTTGGGAAGGGGCGGGGCTGCCCCTCCTATGGGCCCGCCCCTTTCTGGCCGCCTCGTTGGACTCAGCAATCTTCAGGACCCGAGGGGGTCCGGGGTGTCCGAGCTGACTAGGTCTGGGTACTCCCGGCTCGGCGTCCCTCCTACAAAGGCTCAAGTTTGTTGACTTGGAGGGAGCAGCAGGGGCTGGAGCGGTGCTAATAATACCCGTCGGTTCCGACGCTGCGCTTTACAGTATACACAGCTGTCACCTTCGTTACTCCTTAATTAATAATAAAAATAGCCGCCGTTAGGGAGCGCCGACTGGATGCCAGGCCCTGTGCCGAGAGCTTTACAAGCACAGTCCATTGAGTTTGCACATATAATATTATCCCCATTTTACAGAGCGGTAAGGCGAGGCTCCGATTGGTGCCGTGACTTGCCCGAGGTCACTCTGCGGGCAGCGGCTCCGGGATGCAGACACCGGCCCGGGGAGGCGGGGCGCGGGTGCTACCCCTTGCTCCGCAGAGAGCCGCGGGGGCGGAGCGGCGGGCGGGGCGGAAGGCGAAGGGGGGGTGCGGCGGCAGAGGATGGCCATCTTAAGTGGCCGCTGAGAGCCTAGGGCAGCTTCCTCCGGGAAGGGGGCATCCGAGCAGGCCAGGAGGTGGGGGTCTGCGCGAGGCGGCCGCAGCTCAGGGGAGAGGTCGGGAGCCCAGGGATTTGAGGGAACTTTCTTCTAGACGGGCAAGGGGAGGCCTGGACTCGGACTACTGAACCCCTCAAGGCCCAGGCCTACGGGTATGGGGGATGGTGCCAGGGAACTTGGCCAAGAGGGAGGAAGGGCTCTGCCCGGGCTGAGAGGGGCTGCCAGGGACAGTACGTGGGGATTTGAGGACACCTCGTCTGGGGGTTTGTGGGAAGTCGGATCTCTATGAAGGGGATCCCCCTACGGGATTTGTCGGGGGCTGGACCCAGTGGATTTTGGGGGTTCAGGTATTAGGGGGGCTGGATTTCACGGGAGTTGGGTGGTCGGGGCCTCTCGGATAATGGGGAGGGGCATGGGAAGAGGTTCATCATGGGGTCTTTCGCGGGTTTTGGGAACTCGATTCTGCAAGGCTGCAGGGGAGCTGAATGGAAAGGATTTGAAGTGGAATTAGACGTCTGTGGGAGTTGGAGGTCATATCATTGCGAGTATTGAAGGGGACTCTTTCTCGGGTGAGGGGCCCGGGTTACTGAAGTGTCCGGGTGCAGAATGGAGGGACTTGGTCTTTGGGAGGATTGGCTGGATCTCCTCGGGGTGATGATGGCGGGGCAGGATCATTGTGGGGTTTGAGTGACCAGTTACCTCTGGAGTTTGGGGGGGCATAGGTCCTGTAGGAATGCGGAGAGAAGGTATTAACACCGCGGGGAAGAGGTTAGGGCAAGGGCGTTCCGGGCGGTGGGCCGAGTGGAGGAGGAGGGGGCCAGTGGCCGGTTCTGTGCTCCGTTCCTGCCCCTCCCCCGCCGCCTCTGAACAAACTTTTCTTTCTCTTCAAGTTGAGGCCGACGCTGCAGGCGGCGGCGGCTGCGCGGCGAACCAGGCGGCCTGC